TGGCTCCGTGCCCCGGCTCGCCCTGGTGCACGCTGTCGCTGACAGGATGAAGCTGCGGCAGGTCTCCGACTTGAGTGACTTCAGCCGAGGCCACAGGCTGCGGGAGTTGCTGTGCCGCGGAGAAGGGCCCAGCCACATCCAGTCCAGCCCCGACGGGCAGCACCTCCTGCTCCTGCAGAAGAGCCGGCCGCCCACCCTGCCGCGGGTGGTGGCCTTCCAGCGCCACAGCATCGCTGGAGCCGACCTGGAGAGGAGCTGGCAGCCGCCCCAGCCAGCCCTTGTGGGACTGCTCTTCCTGCAGAGCCCTGTGGTCCTGGGCTCCTGGGTACTGGCCGTGGTGTGGGAACATGGCCGGACCGAGGTTTGGCACTTTGTGGTGGCCGTGGGCTGGCAGCTGCTGCAGACACTGGAGCTCTGCCAGGGTGCCCGGGCACGAGTCGTGTCCGTGTGCAGCCAGGGAGCCAGCCTGGTGTGGTGTGAGGAGAGGCCGCCGCTGGGTGCTCACTCGGACATCAGCAAGTGTGCCTTCAGGTTCTGTGTCTGTGCCCGCGCTCTGGAGGTGGGGGAGCAAGGCGTGCGGCTGGGCCCTGTGAGGATAGTCCTGCACAACAGCCCCGAGTACCAGGTCCTGGCCTCTCCCCAGCACGTCTTCCTAGTGCCTGCTGCTGCCGGCTTCGCCACCACTTCCAAATTCCTCCTAATCTGGCAGCCAGAGAAAGCAGAGTTCACCATCACAGCCCCCTCTGCAGGCTTCATCCACAGCAAGGTGCTGCGCTCCAGCAGCGAGTCAGACTTCAGAAAGCTCCTGCTGGGTTCTGTGGGCCTTCTCTCAGGTTTTGCGCCTCTGGACATTCACACCTCCACTGTGTCCAACAGTGGGGGTCTGCTGCTGGTGAGCACAAAGGGTTCTGTGAGTATGGTGGAGCCAGATGGGACACAGAGGCATATCTTTGACCTGGATGGCAGTCCCCTTGCCCAAGGGAGTCCTGTCCAGCTGAAGACCTTTGGCAGCATCCTGGCCTGTGTGCTGGCTGGAGTACTGTATCTTGTTGACCAGAACAGTGGAAGGCTTGTAGAAAAGGAAGTCCTGAGCATGAAAGAGGTGCATTTCCTGGAGTCCCAGGGAGAGGACAATATCCAGCTCCTCAGTCAGACTGGCATCTACAGCTTTAGCTTTTCCAAACCTGAGGATGGTAGCAGGCCTGAGCCATGCCTGGTGGAGATGGTGTTTGAGGAGGCCTGCAGATATTACCAGAGGAGGAGCCTCAGCAGCTCCAAGCTGACAGTGGAGAAGTTGAAGAAAGGTGGTACATTCCAGGCTCCTGTGGTCCTCGCTGCCATCCTGCAGCACAGCCTCCACCAGAAGCAGAAGCCAGCCCAAGGCCTACAAGACACTTACGCCAAGCTGTTGAGCACAATGAGCCTGGAGCTGCAGAGCTACATGAGCCTGGAACTCCTCAAGACTTGTGTAGTGTGTGCCCCAGAGAGTGAGGTGGAAAGCTACTGCAAGGAGCTGGTGGAGCAGGAGGTCAGCCGCATTCTGCAGTCTGACATGGACAAGGACAACTTGGCCTATTTGAACTCTGTCTTTGCCTCCTTCCCCAAGGCTGCCTGGAAAGCCATAAGGAGCTGCCTCCAGCTGCAGCAGAATGGGGATGGCCTCTTGGTAGCCAGGGCCACCCCAGAGGTATGGAAGAAGGTCCTGTGTCAGCCGCAGCTGGAGGAGGTGGGTCAGAATGGGATGGTCCCACTCTTTGAGCTCATTTGCGCCTCCTTCCTGAGGTTCAAACCCAAGTGGTTGCCCAGCTTTGTAGAGCTGACCCAGCAGTATGTTAGCAGCTCTTGGTCATACAGCAGCAAGGAGGGCCCAGAGGGCCGGGTGCCTCTGTACAAGAGAGCACTGGGAGTGCTGGCCCGAAAGAGCAAGCACAGCGAGGCAGATGACGAGATGGAGCTGGAACTGCTGCTCTGCAGCAAGAGGCCTAAGGCTGTGCTGCAAGCTCTGCACCTTCTCATCCGTTTGAAGCAGTGGCAGAGGGTGGTGGAGGTGGCAGAGAAGTTCTCCAAACTCAGCCACTTGCTAAACAAGGAGATATTCATCACACTGCTGGCTGAGTTTGCCCAGCACCGGGAGCTGGACCCTTACCTGGACAGGATCTGGCCGCTGTGCCCTGCTGAGCTCACTGCCTCAGACATCCTCACCATGGTCCTGCAGCACCTCCCCCATTCCCAGGAGGACCCAGTGCCTTTCTCCAGTGAGGGGAACCAGCTGACTGTGGGCTTGCTTAAGCCACTGCTGCAAAGGGTTTTGCAGCGTCCCAGTGTCCAGGATGAGATGTACTCAGATGCCCTGCAGAGCACCACCTTCCCCCCTCCCACCCCACCCCGAGAGCACAAAATCCCCTCAAAAGCTGTGGCTGATGATGTTCCTCAGCCATCCATGGCAAGGACTTCGTCGCCCTCGGCACTGCTACAGGATGACAGTGTATGAAGCAGGGAAGGACAATGTCATCCCAAGCCCTGGGTGCACAAGGAAGGGAAATCCTGTGTTGGCAGTACAGAAGGCTGCTCCCTTCTGAAGCATCCCTGCAGCAGCATCTCGAAGAGCCTGTTGGGTGGCTGGGATTGGGGGAATCTCCTCTTAGCCAGGGTAGGCTTTCTGGTTATTCCTAGCAAGTGCAATTGTGTGTGTGCCAGTGGAGGAGCAAATGCCAGGTGCATTTGCAGATGAAAACACTGGCTACACTACAGGACTACAGAGCTGCTCCCTGCCCAAAGCACTTTGTTTTTGGTTTGTTTGGCTCCCTTTTAAGTCCACTTCTTCCCTGATCCTCCAGTACTGGTGGTGGAGTGGTAGGCCGGGATACACAGTCTTTCTGCCCCATTCTCTCCTCAGTGAGTTGGGTGGTACCTCTAAGCTCAGCCTGTGAGAAACAGGGCATGTTTCTTGCAGCTGGGTCACTGAGTCCCACTGCTTTGGGCTCAGTCAGATGCTAAATGCCAGTGTGGCACAGCTCCATGGCACCGGGGGTCCCAGCACACATGCTGGCAGTTGCAGCACTCCACACTTTGTCTTGCCACAATTCCTCTGGGATCAATCCTGTAGCTGTGACTGATTGCAGCTACTTAGCTGAAAAGAGCAGCCTAATTCCCTTATCTCTCTGTCCCAGACAGTACCCAAACTCTCTTCTGAGCTGAGAAGCTTGCAGCAGCCTGTGTGAACTTGGCGCTGGCCCTGCCTTTCCCTTTCCTTTGTGGAAGCTTAGATTATGCTGCAGGACACCCGAGCCCTCTGTTCCCATCTCCTCTACCTTTGCCCTTTGCATACAAAGGGGCTTTGTCAGGGTTGTCTGGCTCATATTGTGCCTCTGTTTGCAAAACCAATGTAACTTGAGAGCAGTTTGTGCAGGAAGATCCAGCCTCTCTCAGGTGCCCAGTGCCTGGCCCCCTCCACCAGGAGGGAGACCCTGGCTGTGGCTTTGCCTCTGCATTCTGGGCTGTGGTGTAAAGGAGGCGCCTGTTGCCTTGTTGGGCTGCGGGAAGTTCACATACATTAATCCTCTTGAGAGTGGTCTTAAGTGTGGAAGACAGACTCCTTTTAAAAATAAAAGTTCCTAAAGCACTGCTGAGGTCGTGGTGGTGAATGTTCTGAGGGTACACACCCTCAGGAGGAGGGCAGTCTTGTTTTGCCTCTAGTGAAAAATGGCCAGGCTCATTTCTCTGGTGCTGCCCAGCATGGCTCACAACTGGGCTCAGAGAGCATGCCCAGGTAGCCCATTCCCTCGGTGGTACTCGGCTGCTTAGCACTGTGAAGCCATGGAGGCAGGAGTTTGCACAGGCAGCCTGGAGCGTGTGTGCCACAGGGAAGAGCCATCCAGGCTGTGCATGGCTGTGGCTGGGCCCAGCAGAGAGTTGAGGAAGGGAGGATTTTTTTTTTCAAGAGCTGCAAATTGTTTATTTTTTAGGAAAACTAGCAACAGAGAACACCTGGCTGGCCCAGCAAAATCCTGCTGCCAGGCACAGTGTCAGAGCTGCCGTTGGAGAGATTATTATTTGGGAATCTACTGTAAAGATGTGGCAGAGTCTCCCCCAGAGAAGGGTTTGGCTGTGGAAAGTCCCTGTGGTGGAAAAAGGCCTGGCAAAGAGGAAGAGGAACTGCTGCAATGGTTCCCTAGAAACTGGCTGGTTATTGATGAGACCTTCCTTGGAGGGGGATGGCCTTGTGCTGTGGCCATGGGACACTGTGAGTTTCCCTCACTCTGGCAGCTGCCACAAACATGAGCGGAGGGAGCGTGGCCTGAAAGAAGAGCTGGTGGCATCCACTGTGAGCATTTTGTATTGAGCTGTCTTTGCCTCCTCTCCAGGCAGCTGCTGGCCTTGCCTGACACTGGTCTCACCCACCTCCCAGGGCTGCTCAGGAGGAGGATGATGGATGGACCTCAACACCACTTAGAGCCTTGGCTTCCGGGATTGGAACACTGCCCTGGAGCTGCACTGAATGGGGAGCTGCTGAGAGCAAGCCCCACACTTTGGCAAAGGCTGTGCAGTCATTTGGGGAGGACATCTTCATTTCCAGGGCTGTGTTTGGGTGCAGGTAGCCACAGTGAATAAGGGTCAAGCACCCTGCCTTCCAGCACTGGCTCTGCAGAGAAGCAGAGCAGGGAAGAAGCAATTCCCACAAAGCCAGCAAGCAGAAACTGAAGCCAGCAGGAGTCCTGTGTGAGCTGGCATCCCCAAGGCACAGCAAGGGAAGAGGAAGTGGGGAAAATGATGCAGTAGGGACAGCCTCAGACTTGGGGGCAGAAACCTCCATGTATGGGCTCTAGACAAACAGGAAGTAGTCAGAATTCTGGAGGCTGAGGGTCCAGGGCAGAGGAAAACAAGGCAAAACAGAGCTGAATGCTTTCCAAGGGGTTGCTGGATATCTCACTCCAAGAACCAGGAAGGGTGGGAAACCCTGGGGGAAGCAGGGGCCAAACCAATGTGAAGGACAGATTCAGCTGACTGACAGGCAAGCACAGGGCTCTCTCTGCAGTCAGACTGCTGGGGGAGACAGCAGGAGGTAAGACCCGTGCAGTTTCAGATAAAGCCTGAAGGAGAAACTAGCAATTAGATCTGAAGGCAAGTGGAAAAAGCAATAAGAAGAGATGCACGTAGTGGAGAGGGAGTGGCCTGGCCCTCTCATTCTGCTCCAAAGAAACTTGGACTTTGCAACAAAGGAAATGAGTCAAGCTGCTCGCGTATATCCCCTGTGCCTGACACGGCTTTTGGGATGGTCCCTGCACTTGCACCAGGGAGCAGCACAAAGCAATGCCTGGACTCACCCCAAGGCTCTACTAGACCAAGTTGCCCTTTATCTGTGCATGCAGCTCTTTCTATGCAGAGCATGGGGTGTGCAGGGTTGGCCACAGAAAATATCCATGCCGCCATATCTTGCTGAAGGAAGGAGGTGTGGGCTGCAGTCACCCCATAAACTCACTGGAAATCCACAGATGATACATACTAGGGTATCTATGCCAGAGGGAAGAGCTCATGTGCTGGGGACAGCTTGGGGTAACACTTCATGGACAGGAGACTTTATGTAGCTTGTCCCAGGGAGGGACTTGGCACTCACCCAGTCAGAGGTGCAAAGGGCTGCCCAGTGAGGGGAACATCACTCAGTCTTAGTGACACTGAGCAGTGATCTTGTATCAACCCATAGGCTGGCTGTGAGCAAAGCACACCTGGGAACACCACAAAGAGCCCTCTGCTCCCAGGCACAGCCTCAGCTTGTGCCAGCAGCAGGGAGTCCTTCAGCCCCTAGCCCTGTGTACTTCCATCACTGCTAGACCTGAGGAGCACAGTCACATCCCACACTGCACACAAACACACCATTTATTGTTTGACGCCAAAAATTACAGCCTTGGAAAGAGGTAGGCTCCCTGCAAAAATAAATAATCACATTTTTCAAGTGAGGGGGGTCTGTCCATTTCCTCCTCCATCTGTGGGTGATGGGAGTTAATGCCTTGTAGAAGGCCTGGGGATTTTGTAGGAGTAGAATGTTGGTGGCCTGCAAAACCAAGGTCATATATGTCACCCCCAGCCAGAGAGGGGATCAAGGGACAGCTCCGGATGCACTGGGATGGTCAAATATCATCCCACCCAGCCCCACAGGAAATAGGGAATGGAGACAGCTTTCCCCAAACCCACCAGCTTGGGAGACTGAGACCAGCAGCACCTCCAGACTTAGGAGTGTGGGAAGATGATAGGGGACACCACAACTGCATGCACACTCCTTGGTCTGCACTCACCCTGGTCCCCACCCCCCTCCCTCTTGTCCCCTGATGCCCCTGTGTTACAGGGGTGCTGCCCCCCACCCCACACAGGGACCTGGCAGTGTAAGTAGCTTACATCTCAAAGTCTTCATTCCTAGAGGGGAGAAAAATGAGGGGACAGTGTTAGTGGGGCAAGAAGATGCCTCGTGGGAGAGCACATAGGCTTCAGGGTGCTGTGGTCCCCTCCACCCTGTCTGCCTGATCTGAAGAGAGCATGGGCTCTTACAGGCCCCAGAGCATCAGTGCTCCTTCCCCAGGCAGGCAGAGCAGGGCCCCACACTCAGTGGCTCAGCAGCACCCAGATCCCTATACCTCAACTTCAGCTCCCTGAGGTTCCTGGGCAGCTGAGCCCATGGCTCCAGCCAGCTCAGAGGAGCTGGGGAACCCCCAGCACAACAGCTGCACCACAGGGCCACGATGGAGATGGAAATCCAGTTAGAAACTGCTCACTACCCTCAGGGGTCAGTGCCTGTCCTGGTGATGGAGGTGCCGGGCAGCCCCAGGACACCAGTGGCCACAGGCACGTGAACAAGCATTGCACCCTCATGGCATGCCACCAACCATGCAGCACACTGCATTCTGCCCAGCATCCAGCTGTGCTCCCATGCCAGTGCTCCAGCACAAAAATGGTGCAAAACAGAGCAAGTCAGGGGGTGGACTTGAGCCAGGCTGGGGCTGCAGCCCTGCCTTGCTCCTTCCGCCAAAGGGGATGCACCTTTGTCCACCCAAATGGGAGGTTCAGAGCAGGCAGAGAAAAACTCCAGAACATGCCCATCTTCAGAGGCTGAGGGCCCCAAGCCACCTCTCAGGTTCTCCCCAGCCCACATTACTTTGGCCTGAGCCCCACAGGCTGCCACAGGACATGAAGGGACATGTGGCAGGGGGACCCCAGACCCAGCATAGTCACGGGGGATGGGGCTGCTCCTCACCTATACACATCAGCAATATCCATGCGGCGGTAAAACTTGGCAAGTCTGACAGCCAGGATGATGCTGGGCAGCAGGAATAAGGTGCACCAGCCCAGGCTGAACCAGAAGGCATTCTGCGTGGGGTGGAGGAAGAGCCATTAGGTCCAGAGAGGAACTGGGAGCATCTCTTCTGCTCCCAACACTCCCCAATAACCACTCACTGCTTCTCAGAGCCCAGCCTTTCCTCTTAGCCACAGCAGTTTGCTGAGCAGAAGCTGAGCACTGTTCCCTGTGCATCCCTGATCTTTCCCTGTTTCCCTCATCCTGTGCATGAGGATGACAAGAGGACTTCACTGTCACCCCACACACGTGTGTCACTCTACACACCACTGCTCCACTCACCACAGAGTCCATGATATAGTCACAGCCAATGGCCTCCACATTATCCAAGGACTGAGCTATGGGCTTGCAACGTGCCACATCTTCTGTCACCTGGGGACATGGTGGGCACAGCATATGTCAGCATCCACCAAGCCTCGAAGCTCATTCTTCCCTTCTCTCCACCTCACTACGGAAGGCTCAGCTTACCCTGCTCTTGGCCCATGAAATGTAGGTTTCAAAGTAATCCAACAGCTGCTCCAGGAAGGCCCATGTCTCCTGAAGGGGCAACACAGAGTGATGTTGCCCCACCATCCCCCTCCATGCCCCATATCCCCTCCATGTCAGGGTCAGGGCTCTCAGACCACCTCAGCCCAGCAGCAATAGGGCTGAATGCTTCACCCCACCCACATCCCTTGCCAGGGATGCCATAAGCGAAGGGGGCACCCAGGGGTGCAGGACAAACAGCCAGACAAGGTTTGGCTTCCCTGTATAGAGGGAGGTCTTGGTGAGGGGGTCTGCTCCGTGTGACCTGGCAGCAGGGCAAGGAAAGCTCACATTCTTGATGATGTTTGGTGTCTCCCTCTCCAGGAACTCCTGGGTTTTGCTGGCTTTGTCCAGCGCAGCTGTTGTCTGTCCCTGAGGTGAAAGGTGCTGTCAGCAGTGTGATCTCAGTGGGGTTTCTGCACTTCACCAACCCTGCACAACAGCTGTCCCTGGGGCACAGCCTCTGAGAGCTGTGATGTTCCCAGCAGTCACACACTGGTAGTGCCAAGTACCTCAGGCAGAGGGAGCCTGCACCTGGCAGGGTTCATGGCCTCTCTCCCTCTACCCTATGAACAGCCCCTGCAGCACACAAAGAGTCCCATAGCAGCCCCTCAGACTGCAAGTTAGTCCCACCACCTCCACTGCAGGACTTCAAGGGTGCTTTGCAGGGTGCCTGGGACTGGTATGCACTACCCTGATGCAGCTTACCTCTAGCTGGGCAGCCCCACGCTGCACTGAGTGGATGTTCTCCTTCAGACTTTGCTGGGGACAGAGGGAAGGGGTGTCAGAGGTGCAGACCCCACAGCTCACATAAGACCCTGCCAGCAGGCTCTGAGCTCTAGGGAAGCCCAACCCAGCATCCCCAGGACATCCCCCAGCACTGCTCACCAGTGGCCCAGAGAAGCTCGCCTGCATCTCCTTTTCCAGCTCCCTCAGTTCGCGAGCGTTATCTTCCAGGGCCACCTTCTCATCCGCGCCCTGGAAGAGCCGCAGTCAGCAGTGCCCAGCTCTGTGCCTCACCACAGCCAGCTGATGGGCCAGGCAGGCTGGAGAAAAGAGCTGGGTGAGAGTAAAGGGCCTCCCTCCAACACTCAGGCAGGCACAGAGGAGCCCCGCAACCAGTGTCTTTGGGACAGGGTGGCTATGGCCCTGGAATGTCATGGTCTCTCACCACTTTTTCTGCCAGCTGCTCCAACTCTGCAGCCAGATCCAGGAGGCTTCCCTGGGTCATATTCTGATCCAGCTGGAAAAGGCAGAGACAGCTATGAGAATGAAAAAAGGGGTTCATAAGGGGAACTATACCTCTTCTTTGTGGGGCAGAGTGGAGCCAGGGCCTTCTGGGCAGAGGATGTGCCTAGTTACCCTAATGGGTTACACAGATGGCAGAGGACTCCCACAGCAGCAAAGGAGACAGCAGTAGACCTCCCCAACCCACATGCAAGCCCCCCAATCCCAAGCCCAGGCTATACCCAGCACACCTGCTCCAGGGTGAGGGTGAAGTTGGGGGGCTGTCCGGCCCGACTGGCATTCAGCAGCAGGTCTTTCTGGCTCTGGCTGAGCAGGAAGATGGGGCTTAGGGTGATGTTCATCTTCTCGAAAACTGTGGAGATGTTTCCTGTGTACTGCCAGAGCAAAGGGGACCATGATGGGAAAGATGCCGGCACCTCACTGTCCCCTCAGCTTTTGGTCTGGACCCCTGTCCTCAAGATCCTGGCACCCCTACGCTCACCTGGCTGATATTCAAGAGCTCATCCAGGGACATGCTCTGGTCCAAGTGCAGAGTTTGCCACAGAGAAGCATCTTGCTGGCACTGCCTGCAGGATAGGGGCATAGGGTTGAAAACAGGGCAGGTGAGGACCACCCTGTCCCAGGAACATGTCCTCACCTGTGCAGGTAGGTTGCACCTTGCTCCTTCCCTGCAATCAGTGCCTACCCACAGCCTGGGAAGGTAGGGAAAGCTGTCCTGCTCCTGGAGAGCATCTGAGGGCATTGAGCAGCTCTACCCCCACCAAAGGCACAGTGTCAGGGCTGGGACCTACCTGTATATCTCTGAGAAGTTTGCCGTGTCACCCTTCAGGCCCAGCAGCTCTGAGAGATTGAAGTTTGGGATCACACCAGGGGTGTCCAGGAGCTAAGAGCAAGGAAAGAGATGGAGAAACTAGACACAGGACAGAGCAGGACACCTTGGTAGAACATCCTAAATGGCTAGTGCTGCCTCTGCTCCACCAGCAGCTCTCATTTAGGAAGCAGTATCTCCAGGCAGGGCTGTTTCCCCACAGCGAGCTTACCTGGAAGAGCTGCTGGTTGCGCCAGGACTCACAGAAGAGCATGTAAATGTTCCCCCCCAGCACAAAGATGATCATCACCAGCAGCATGAGCAGCCAGAAGAAGATGAAACTGAAGCCAACCCCTCTGCCGGGACAGAAATGCCATCAGTACCAGCAGTCCTGTGGCCCAGCACTGATGCTGGCATTGCCTCCAGCTCGAAGAGCCCAGGGGTTACACACCCCTCATCCCCAAAGTTGTGGGAACACCACCCTTCCCACAAACTTGTCTCTGCTCTGCCTTCAGACCCCAGAGCATGACTGGGCTCTACCCTGGAGCTTGGATTCCAGAATAGCTTCCCACAGCTTTGCAAGCCAGCACTCCCCCGCAGAGCTGCAGGACCCACGCACACACTGCCAGCCCTCGCCATCGCGGGGCAAACGGGCTCCCCTTGAATGCCTCTCACCAGCACCACATTTGGCCTTCAATTTACCACCTGCACAGGGAGTTGTCATGGGGCAGGCCATTCAGCTGCAGTAACACGATGGTTTAGGAGCTCGAGCATTCCCAGGCCAGCCCTGCCCACCCATCCCACCACTCCCACACATGTCCTTGGCAGCCAGTTGAGCCTCACGCCATGAAGAAGTTCCCGCCAGCATCAGAGAGGCTGCTGCGCTGTGTGGGCAGCACACCTTCCTTCAGCCCCAGGGGCCCCAGCAGCAGCCCTAAAACATTGCAGAGGACCACCAGCAGCACTGTGCAGCACAGAAGGGCACATACAATCAACCTGGGGAAGACAAAGGGCAGGAGTCAGGTAG